TAAGGGGGGGCTTTTTTTTTTTTTTTTTTTTTTTTTGTCTTTTTTCATGTCCGGCAACGGATCGCAACCCTTAGTGTCGCGCCCGTACAGGACCGGGACCGGCAACGGGATCGCAACCCTCGGTGTTGCTCCCACACCTCGCTCAGCCAGTGAGTGGGAACCGGTCTGTATGTGGGATCCGAACCCTCGGCGGGAGCACCACCACGCTCCCAAGCGGCGCACTGTAGCAGTGTGCCACCGGGCCGGCCCAAGGGGGAGCTTTTAAGGGCAAAAGGGGTAACCCATGTAAGTCATTCTCAGATGAAGAGAACATGGGTTACAGAGGCTTATCCCTGGAGCCCATGTTAGTTCATTAGTGCAGACAGTGTGTCAGGCAAGTGTTTTTGTACATCCAGCTGGCTGTCCTTGTGACTCATGCAGCTGCAGCCTGGAACGTCATTGGCAAAAGTTCTTGTTACAGGCATACGTGCATAAGAGCCCTTCAGAGAGTCTTTATAATAGTTCTTATCATAGGCATGTGTGCATGAGGGCCCTCCCTTCTTAACCTCCTGACTCTATATTGTTTGGGTTTGACACAAGTGACTCCATCTTGATATTAAAAACTTTCACATTTCTCCCTTTTGATGAAGATCTTTCTTCAAAAGCATTGCTGATCAATTATCCTGTGGTTAGGTTTTGATGATCCCTTGGTGCTGGGAAGTACCTGTCCTGGTTGGTCTGGTCCCACATCAGAGGGATGGTGCATTAGCTCATTTCTGTTGCTTGTAACAAAATACCTGGAATTGGGTGATTTATAAAGAAAATGACATTTACTGCTTTCAGTTTTAGAGGCTGGTAAGTCCAAAGTTCTGGAACACATCTGGTGAGGGTCATGGTGGTGGCAACAGCGACCCAGGGGTCTCACATGGCAGAAAATGGCAGAGCAGAGAGAGAGAGAGTTCCCCATGCTCTCTCCTCAGAACCAGGCCCGTGACCACCATCATTAACCCATTCACTACTGCATAATCACCTCTTCAAGGCCTCACCTTTCGATTATCATAATAGGATTTCCCACCCTCAACAGTTACAGTGGGAATTAAGCTTCTAATATATGGACTTTGGGGGACACAATTCAATCAATCCATAGCAGATGGCCAGCAATTTTGAATCAGTGTCAAAACCCTTTTAGCCACATTTGTGCAATAAGGTTTGGAGGTTTGGAAGGAGTGGCTCTTAGGCTAAGTCTGCCCGGAGTTTACTGTTATATTAAATTTTGTCAGTTCCATAGGTGCTGCCTATCATTTCAAAGTGCTGGGCCAGGATTATTTTATTAGGAGTTGTACTTCTGCAGAGATTGGAGAGCCAATGGGTACAGAGTTTAAAAAGAGCCATACAGAGCGAAATTAATAGTAATATGATAAACCCAGTTGGCGTAACGGTTTTAAAATCATGAATCCTAGCCTGACGGTAACCAACTAAACAAATCAAAAGACCATGAGGGAACTGGGTGAAACCTGTTGTGGCCAGATATTGGAGGAAACTAAAAGAGTTCAGGATCCAGTCCAGATTCTAGGTAAATAAAAACTCAA